TTTTGTAACAGCCTTTATGGATTTTGCTTAGACAAGATTGACATGGATAGAATTGAACGTGTACAGAAGTCCTGCCTACGATTTATTTATGCTATTCGTTAGTTTGAAAGAGTTTCACATAAGTTGCATGTGAGTTGCATGCATGTAATCTTTTTCAGAAACTTATGTTTTTTAAGCAACCACCATATTTATTCGATAGAATAACTTTTCGCACCGATGTTCATAACTGAAATCTGCGGTTTCGGGGCTACATATCACCTCCTCCTCATCAAACTTCTCTTTTTTGTAGATCTTTCTCATACAACATTTACCGGCTTTACAATCAAATTCCTAATGACTTTAAAATTCTGCATCCAAACCCGTTTCAAATCAAATATAAAAAATTTATATTTGAAAGCGACCAAACTAATGAAAACAAAATTTTTCTTGTACTATAACTCGCATTTATTATTCGAGGCTTTCTAAGGTAGATCTTTCTTTATATATATATATATATATATATATATATATATATATATATATATATATATATGTATATATGTGTATTATGTATGTGTATGTATATGTGTATATATGAATGTGTACTAGGTAAAGGGCTGAACTTGTATCATTTTTAAATGCCTTCAGCCCTTTTTTGTACCATATAGCATTTAAAAGTATTTTGCCTCTATTTTTACCTAACTATGTTGCAAATCAACATTATTATTATTATTATATTCTCGATTTTTATCAGATATTCTATAGTCACCCTATTTTACGATACGATCTCTCCTGAATGACTATTATTTATTTCATGAAATGCTCAATCATTTCATGAGATGGTCAATTCTACGATAGACACTACGCTAGTTTTTGCGATTACAATACTTCCTCGCCAGTAGGCGTGGGAAGTAAAGAAATCACTGGCCTCCTCTATCTTGAAAAGTACCTCTTCAGTTGTGACAAAACTTTGACACAAGGTTACTCTATGAAATATACCTGTTGCCTCCGAAGATCAGTTTAAAAGTGTAAGGATAAAAAACAAAAATTCTTGACCTCAAGTTTTATTTTTGCTTATGTAGCTTCTAAAGCTGATCTTGCATTGTTTCGATGATTTACTTCTATGTGTCATGTGAAAATGAAGAACTTACTGCATTTCACCCACCTCGACGAAAAATACCACCACCAAGTGTCAATATTTTTTTTTCTAAGACGTATATGGTTTCATTTAACAGCCAGTGAAACATAAAAATAAATCTTCCATTGAGTGTATTTTTGAGTGTCTGGAGGCTTAAAAAAACTAAAATTTGCGTTTCCATTTTTAGAGGGTTCAGAAATTTAGAAATCGAGCAAAACACAAATTTTAAGTGCAAATCTTAATGCTAAAACAACCAAAATTTGTGTAGTCAATCCGAACGTAGATTTATATTACTGCGTAAGGCAGGATATTATCCAGTAAATAACATCCAAGGATTCTGACCCATTGACGAATAAGGACCATTGTCTTATCAATGGAACTGCCACTTTTGTCGTGGTCTTTATTTATTGCTACGAGTATTAAATCATATTGTCCCATATTTCAAAAATCAGAGTGGAAGCGATTTCTGTTTGTCGATATTTCAACGATGTTTCACAATCAGTTTTCTAAATTCAAATTATTTAAAATATTCATCAGAATATGAATACAAATAACCATAATAGTTTCATTTTCTACAAAGTTTATTTCAAGACGCTTGTAATCAAGTTGCCGTACTTTTGAAGTATATTCCTTTTCTACTGATCGAAGGACTTAGAGAGTTTTGAAACAATTTGAGAATCCTACATCTGAATAGATAGATCCATTTATTGTTTTGCATTATAACCGCAAGATACATAGAGCTCAAAATATTTTAGCTGAAAACAATATTTAAGACTTTCTGCATAAACCAAATAACTAGTCCTGAATATTTTCCCATCTAAAATATATTGGTTCAAGACGTGAAGAGTACATAGAACATTTTTTTATCGTATAAAAAATGGTCTGTTCATTTCACTTTCTCATGCCTGGAAGGAGGGCGGCTGTTCCCCTTGCCTCTCCTGAATACATTCTTCGGGAACGAAAAATATAATTTTATCAACATAAATGTCGAGTAATTCAAAGACTAGATGATGGGTTTTCTCAGTTTGTGACAACTTTTTAACGGGTCCTCAAACTGAATAAAATCAGTTGTTTATAAAATTTGCTAAGAAACTTTTGACAATATATATGAATCATATGAAAAAAAAGGAGGCCGGTTTCATACCAAGTGTGTAAGAAGCCTAAAAAACAAAACACAAGAGCTACTTCAAATAGGCTGAGGGTCGAACACACTTAAATTCTTTAATAATCCAGAATGCAGGATTCGGAGTGCAAGATATATCTCAAAGCCTTGTCGACTACACACATATAATCACAGCTATAGTACCTGCAGCAAAACTGGACTTCTTCCGCAACTCTTGTTTGCTACATCTCGCATTCTGAATCAATAAAGAATGAACATGAATTCAAACTTTAGTACTCCCTACCTTCTCAAGTATACTGTATGCCAGCAGGTGGCGTTTTCAGAAACCCCGTCCTTCTCGATTAAGGCGACCACAAACTCGTCCTCGTTGAGCTGCTCAGCGCTGTCAGGGCCTTTTGGTAGGTACAGCAGGCACTAAAGAAGGTATAGCAAAGTTATATTTAGACAAATTTAATTAATTTAATTTTTCCCCGACTTTATTTATAGTGGGATTTCAAAATAAATTGCACACTAACAGTGCAACTTTTCCTCCTCTACAAGGTGGCATAATTAGAATTTCAATGTGACGTTTCGTTTCTTGTCCTCCAGATGTTTGCACAAATGCATAGAATTTTCAACTTTAATTCCAAAAATGTATAATAATACGTAATACATTGATGTTGCCAAACCTTAGTTATTTCAGAAAAAGCAGGATTTCCTAGGTAGGCCTTGAAATTATCATATAGTCATTTGTTAGCCCTACTAGATTTATGCTAAAATCACTTTTATTTTTCCTGACCTTATTTGAGATGGGATTGAAAAATTGTTGTTAACACTGCTACTTTTTCTCCTACATAAGACGACATAATTAGAATTTTAATATAAGGTTTCGTCTCTGGTCCTCCAACAACTTTTTAGGGCCACAAGTTAATAATAAAAAGAAATTCCAGAAATTTTATTAAAAAAAAATAAAAATCTAAGGAATTTCCGTATAAAAGTTTCTTTCGCCTAAATTATAGGTTTGGAACAAGTTATCAAGATTCCGTTTTTGTATGCTTGTCTGACATTATTAAGCTACTTTTTAAAAAAAAATTATACCAATGCAATTAATTTTTTGAGAAAATTCACCATTTCTGTCGGGATGTCGAAAAAAGCCCTCTAGCAGCCACATGTGAAACTAGAAAAACTTTAAATATTATAATATTTGTAGTTCAAGAATAGCTCTTTTCAACTAAGCCAAATTTGTTAAAATCGGTTGAGCCGTTAAGATACAGGGTCTTATTTACGGAAACCCTTGAATAGCCCGCCACCACTTTATTTTTAGAGATATTGCAAAAATTCTCAAACAAAAATGGTTCCGAATGTCCTCTAATTTGAAGATCAGGAATTTTTTTGTTAGATTAATATATCGGAATTTACAAAGACATCACTTTTCCGAAAATTCTTCGACTACGCCCCAAAGTAGTCAGGCATATGTGAGACAAGGGCAGATCCAGAATTTGTATACTCGTACATGAATTTATGTGACGCCAATATACTTTACACATTTTTTGTATGTTTTCTAAAAATACCCAAACTCTTTTTTCTGATTCTGAAGTGATTACACTGGAGCTTATTTTTAAAAAATAGAGGGCACTAGATTTCCATTTTTTAAGCAAATATCAATACAAACTTTTGAACTGAATATTTAAAATCTCATTTCTTATATTTTATAGGCTTCAAAAACAATTTTAAGAGATTCAGAGTTTGTATGTTTGGATAAATTGAAAATATTCTATATTAATGCATGAGAACTATTTGACTCAATTTCTTATTATTTTGTTTTTTGTACTTTTTTACAATCAAAACCTCAAAATTATCACAGAATAGATTATAACAGGTACAAAATAGTGACTGTATCTTTCAGAATGCTAAGCGTGTATTAAAAAGTGGACAAAACCAGGCAAGAGAATGACCTTCGTCTGCTAAGTTCTTTAAGAGTAATGCCTATTATTAATACTAAAATTCAAAGACTGCTGAAAATAAGTTTTCATTTACTTATTCTTGATATAATGTGGCATTTTGAATAAATCAAGAAATACGGTTTTTAAACATTAAATCTAGAGCTTTTCAAGTATTTTTGGATTTTGTGTGCAAAATAAAAGGAAAACGTGCACAGTAATACCAATAATCATAAAGAAATACCTTAAAAATTGTTAGTGAAGATCGTATAGAAAATAAAAGACTCTTACCTCTATCAGCCAGCGAAGTTGATCGGTACAATATGATCGGTACAATAAACTGAAAAATAAACTTCTGGATGTCTGTGGTACCTATTTTATACTATTAGTCACCCCACCCGATGGTCGTACTTATCATATGAAAATAACAATGGTCAGCATTAATGTTGTGAGTGCACATACAGTACCTATCAAAATTATAGAACTTTTCGATTGCAAAGCCGAATTTATGTATGAAGGTGTTTTTGCCTCAATTAATTTCAAACCTTTTTGGATATAGCGAGTATGCTTGTCAACTTCTAAGCTTAGTAGTATCGGAGGCCGGAACAGCCAGCAAACTCGTTCGTCCTGAGCCAAACTTTAAGAGTGCCCGCGCAAAGAGTATACGAGCCCCTTCCCACTTCAGTTGGCCCACTTCAAGATTTGTACCATAATATGCCTTTATAAACTAAACATGACGAAACTACGTATTTACTTCTAAAACAATTTATTTTCTCAAAAACATTTTAGATACACTCTAGTCGTGAAAAATACATATTTGAAATCACTTATACCTATAACTAATAGAACATCTGAACAAATAAACAATGTGCGAATAAATGCGTGAAGCTAACAATGCAACAATTGAAAGATTACCATTGGGTAACATCACCTTTATTTTTTATTACTGCTGAAATTCTTTGGGGCATAGTGTTAATCAAGTTTTGGCAAAAATCTGGTGGAAAACAATCCCATATTTCTTGAAGCTTTTGTCTCAGTTCGGTGATTCTACGAGCAGGATGTTGTCGTAAAACCTTTTTCATCTCGTGCCACAAAGTTTCAATAGGTGACAGATCTGGACTGCTATAAACCCATTTCAAAAGTGGTACATTATTTTCTTCCATCCATTTTATAGCCTTTTTTTTAGGTATGGCACGCTGCGCTATCTTGCTGAAACACAAAATCTTGGCCGGATGTCAAACATTCTTCCATCATTGGTAAAAGCGATTCTTCTAAAATTGCCAAATATTTGTTTGTATCCACATTTCCATCAATAAAATGAAGTTTTTCTACTCCTTTTGATGACATACTGCCCCAGACCATAATGGATGCTGGAAATTTCGCTTTTCTCTTCAGACAGTCAACGGAATGCTTCCTTCTTTTTGCGAATAACTCTACTGCGACTGTCACCAACACAAACTTCGAATCGGGCCTCATCACTCCATTGTATTGCACACCATTGTTGAGGCGTCCATTGTCTATGTTCTTTAGCCCATCTAATCCGATTTTTCTTTTGTAGTGGAGTTAATAGTGGCTTTTCTTTGGCCTATAAACGAGTTATGCAACTTTAGGGTTTTTACTTCACTTTTTTATAAGAAAACTTACCTTGCAAGTGCTAAATCCCAGTTTGTGGGCCTCTCTATGAGTTGAGGACCTCGAAATTCTCCTTCCAACAGCGTCACTCCACAGAGCACTTAATTGTAAATAATGGGCACGCCTGTTTTTCACGATTATTCTTCTTAATGCTCTTCGGTCGGCATTTGTGATATTACTTTTTTTCACATATCGTGACTTAATATTAACTGAACCAGTTACGTTATATCTTCTAACAATATTTCTCACACTGTACCACGATAAGTCTAACAAAGTTGCAATTTCTGAGTTTGATTTCCCAGAATTAAAAAATTTAATTATCAGTAACCGAATTTTCTCATTAATAAGCTTTCCTCCACCCATTTTGAAAACATTAACTACCCAAAACTATTTTAAACGTATTCTGACAGCTGTGATTAATAATAACAATTGTCATGGCTTTTATTTTGCTCAGCCACCTATGCGTTATAGACTTATTTTGCATTGAAATGAAAATATGTTGATATGCTGTAATTGCAACATGTGTTATTTTTATGCTGCAAATTTGATTAGGGAGTGATAAAGTTGGTGTTTTCTACTAAGTATATAACGGGTGATTTTTTAAGAGGTATAGGATTTGATTTTCAAAAAACACACAAAAAATTTGAAAAAACGATTAAATCTTTATTTGAGTCGATAGAACGCACGATATAATTTAATATTTAAAGATTATTTCATGTAAATGTTGGCCGCGGCTCCGCTTTAGATGGCCCATGCGCAAGGTCCAATTTTGGCACACTCTCTCCAACATATCGGCCGGTATCTCTCGAATAAATGCTTCAATATTGGCTACCAGTGCGTCAATCGTTGCTGGTTTATCCCTGTATATATTAGCCTTAGCATGGCCCCACAAGAAATAGTCCAACGGCGTTAAATCACACGATCTAGGCGGCCAATTGGCGGGCCCCAAACGTGAGATAAACTGTTCACCGAACTCGCCTCTCAATAGGGCCATTGTTTCGTGTGCGGTGTGGCATGTGGCACCGTCTTGTTGAAACCACTTGTCAGCCAAGTCCAGCTCTTCCATTTTGGGCAAAAAAAAGTTTGTTATCATCGCACGGTAGCGCTCGCCACGTTCTGGCCATTGTCGTCTTTGAAGAAGTACGGCCCGATGATGTCACCGGCCCATAATCCACACCAAAGAGTGATTTTTTCGGGATGCGTTGGTACCTCTTGCAATGCTTCTGGCTGGTCTTCACTCCAGATGCGACAATTTTGCTTGTTAACGTACCCATTCAACCAGAAATGAGCTTCGTCGCTGAACACAATTTTTCGATAAAAATGTGGATCTTCCTCCAACTTTGCCAGCGCCCATTCACCAAATTGGAAACGTTGTGGGAGGTCGTATGGCTTCAATTCTTGCACCAGCAGTATCTTATAAGGTTTTACACCCAAATCCTGTCGCAAAATTTTCCACGTAGTGGAGTAACAGAGGCCCAATTGCTGCGAACGGAGGCGAATCGACATTTCACGGTCATCACTAACACTGGTGGATACAGCCGCAATATTTTCTTCAGTCCTCACTCGACGTCTGCGTGTTGGTGGTTAAATGTCCAATAATGTAAACTGGGTTCGAAATTTAGTCACAAGCTTCCGAATAGCTCCCTCAGTAGGCCGACCAAATTGCCCATAAATTGGAAGCAGTGCTCGATGCACTCTCTTAGCCCAGCATGAATTTTGATAGTAAAATTCAATAATTTGCAACCGTTGTTTGTTCGTAAGTCGATTCATGGTTAAATTATAGACCAAACTGAACAAGTTTGACAATGAAACAAGGTACGATTCACGCGTCATCTGTCAAAAACAATGTTGCCAAAAAGATACTAGCAAAAAAATCACCCATTATTATCAAAATATTCATTGTTAATATTTTAAACCTATAACACCCTGCTACATTTTTATTATTTGTGTTTGATAAGAAAAAAACTAAGATTTCAATAGTTGGGCCAACTGAAGTGGGGAGGGGCTCGTATATATATAAAGAGACAATGATCATGCGGAGAAAGGTATATAAGAAAAAGTAGGAAAATAATGGGCAAAATCCGCAAAAACGAGGAAAGTGGATTCGAGCAGAAAATAGGATAGGTAACCCCAGCGGTCATGGAGTATTTTCCTACTTTTACTTATATATACATACGAGTATATATAATTCCAAGACATTGGCAATGGGTAAAGTCATTCTCTCATGGAAGCCAAGTCACGTAGGAAGAGGCTGAAATGCCCGGTTGCTTTCTGTCTCTACAACCACGACCAAAAACCTGCAGCGCTGTTTTGTGCTCTTTAGCAACTCACCAGTGCGGTATGGGTATAGTAGCCCTGGAGACAGACTACTGTTGGTCATGGTTACAGTGACGAAGCAAAGACGTTAAACCGTATCTATTTATGAATGCATATACAGGATGCTTCATATTCGACCCTCACTATTGGGATCTCGGGAGCTGTAATACATATGGGGATTGACAATTGATGTAAAAATAAACGAGATTTGGATGTTAGAAGCCATAGCATACAGAATCATTCAAATATCTGGGTGTAACGTTTACGGTGAAAGACAAGAGCAACCAAGTCATTTCAAATAAATTAGCACAGGGTAAAATACCAATTAGACACCTAAATTCTATTCTATGGAGTACTAGAGTGAAAAACAAATCAAAGAAATTGATATTCAAAGCTATAGTAGAAAGTATCTGTACCTATGGCTCAGAAATATGGGAGATGACGAAAACACATAAAGAGATGTTGATGTCCCTTAAAAGGAATTACTGGAGAAGCAGCTGCCGAATCTCCAGACAAGAACAGGTTAGGAACAAAAGAATCAGACAAATTATGGAAGTAGACCACAACATCTTAGAAACGATTGAAATAAAAAGATTACTTTGGCATGGTCACCTTCAACGCATGGATAACACAACAAGGCCAAAAATAGTCTATGAATGGGTACCACTAGAGCGTCGCAAACGGGGTAGGCCTCCAAGAAGTTGAAAGCAAGATGTTCTAGAGTCTATGACATCCAGAGGACTCCAAGAGGGAGACTGGATGGAAACCAAGACACGAAGGAAGAGGTTGAAATGCACGGTTGCTTTCTGTCTCTACAACCATGACCAAAAAACAGACAGCGCTGTTTTGTACTCTTTAGCAACTCATCGGCGTGGTATGGGGGGTACAGTAGCCCTGGAGACGGAAGCAAACACATTTAGCCGTGGTTATTTATGAATGCATATACAGGGTGTTTCAAATTCGACCCCGACCATTGGGATATCGGGAACTTTAAGACATACGAAGTCGCACTAATGGGGGCAATCAACCAAATGCCGCTTAGAATGTTTCGAAATTCAAAGTACTTCCAGAGAGAGACGGAAAACACCGAATTCCCACAATCGTTTTAATTTTTCCCTGGCTTTATTTGTAGTGAGATTTCAAAATAAATTGCACATTGCCTTATTCTCCGCTACAAGATGGTTTAATTGGAACTTCAATATAACGCATCGTCTTTTGTAATCCAGCATCAACTTTATTTTTTCTTATAGGCGTCTTTTTGGATGTTTGCTGTGTTCCATAATTATTTAAGGTTATATGTATTCCTTTTGTTACGTCCAGCATTCGTCCTGAAATAGGTTAAGTGTGCGAGAAGTCGTGGCTAAACTTCGCCTATTTCTAGAGAACTCTCATTTGTCATTTTTAAGTAAAGTGGTTTATTATTATTAAATACCGAAAAATGTCTCAAATTCTCAAATAGTATATTTCCGGAGGGCCCCTGTTCCATCGAATACAAGAAGAATTAAAAAAGCTGTTGAATCGTACTTTGTGCTGTATTAAGAAGCGATTGAGTACAAAATTCTTAGATTTTGATTTTTTTTTAAAGTCTTGTTTATGTTCGGATTAACGTTTTGAGCTACTTAGTAGACATCATTTTAAACGTAAAATATAAAATAAATACAAAATTATAGATCCAAATGATTCTAATGAAATAACGTATATGTTTGATGTATAAACTGAAAATGAGATAAAACTTTACAGCCCCACATAGCCTCAAATGGAATTATTTCGTTCTAACTGAATAAGAAGACAGCTGCTAAGTGTGGAAATGCTTATAGTCATGCATAATTACTTATTGGTTTCTCGAAGCCGCTAAACATTCAAACCTAGCACATTAATGCCAAAAAAGTACTAGATTGTCGTACCTCTTATAATTTTACAAACACTTTCTTCGGCAATGTCAGTCACAGAACTAAAAATTTA